GTGTGTGTGTGTGTGTGTGTGTCTGTGTGTGTGTCTGTGTTTGTCTGTGTGTGTCTGTGTGTGTGTGTGTGTCTGTGTGTGTGTGTGTGTCTGTGTGTGTGTCTGTGCGTGTGTCTGTGTGAGTGTGTCTGTGTGTGTGTCTGTGTGTGTGTCTGTGTGTGTGTGTCTGTGTGTGTGTGTGTCTGTGTGTGTGTGTCTCTGTGTGTGTGTGTGGTCGACCAGGGTGCGCTCGGCCCTGTTACAACACAGCGGCCCCTCCGGCCCGAAGGCTTGAAGGGCCAACCGCGGCCCCCTCATCCATGCTTGATGCATCACCCAGCTCTCCGCGGGCCCGCCCCCCCAACCAGAAAGACCAAGATATATGTACTCAATCCGGCGGGTTGGATGGAACACTTGGCAAGACAGCCCACATCATTCGTTGACCCAAAGCTCTTCTCCTGGCGATCCCTCGCCAGGATACTAAGCAAGGGATGCAAGCACGGAGACAGGAGCTACTATGTAAGTATGTAACTATGTTTATATACATCCCTGTGTGTTTGCTCATTCTTGTATTTGTTATTTACTTGATATGCATGCATATTCCGGTACGGTTGGAGTCGGTCGTATTCTAATTCATTTTCCTGCATGTTGTCAACAGAGATGGAGTGGCCATGGCTGGCATCGTCTTACCCTCGACGGAAGATCTTATCTATATAGATGTAGATGACACTGGGCTGCCCACAAATGCCTGACTGCACCAAGGTCCCCCAGCCAAGGAATGGGCGAAGGAGCGCCAAGAAGATCTGGGGATTAGGGTGCACATCTTCCAAGTGCTGAGCACTGGAGCTGAAGTGTCTCCAATCCATACGCAGGTCCAGCCTTGAGGATCAACAGTCGTCGCTCGTGAAGCGCTACTAACAAGCACGGGCTAGATCCTTGTAGTGGTAGTAAGACAGATAGTGGTGAGAAGTGGTAGCAGGAGTAGTCGTAGCAGTAGCAGTAGCAATCGTAGTAGTAGTAGTAGTAGTAGTAGTAGTAGTAGTAGTACTAGTGCTGATACTAGACTACCAAGTACCATGCAGTACTACAGTACGACGGTACCAAAGTATTAGAGCGCTAAGGTTGTCGTATTAATATTTAATAGTACCAGTAGCAGCACCAGTAGCAGCGGTAGCAGCACAAACAGCAGTAGCAGCACAAGCGCTGCAGCAGCCGCAGAGCGGTGGCAGCAGCAGCAGCAACAGTAGTAGCAGCAGTGGAAGGAGTAGTAGTGGTAGTAGTAGTAGTAGTAGTAGTAGTAGTAGTGGTAGTAGTAGTAGTAGTAGAAGCAGCAGCAGCAGCAGCAGTAGTAGTAGTAGTACTATTTGCAGCAGGAATACCAGTCGTCATCGTGGTGGTAGTGCCATCAGCTGAAGTCATGCTGTGGTCGTCGCACCCTTTGCGGCAAATACATAGCATAGCATGCTGCCTTCTACTACAAAGGCGGAAGCCTTGAACCGCTAGAGAGCAAGACCTCAACATGCACAGTTGGCTGGACTTTTAAGGCTTAGTCTATTCTGGCATCCCGGTCAGGCGAAGGGTGGCAAGCTTAGGGTTCTGAAGTCTCGGGGTCAGGCCTTCAGAAGTGGCCCTTTGTGTTCGTCTACGCTGCGGAAGATGGATAAGAACATATCATATTGCATCATGACAGAAAAACTTGCATATGTTTGGCACGTTGTCGTCAAAGCACGTAGATCGCGTAGTTTATGTTGTTATATTACGTTGATATGTACACATGTATGTGTATATATATATATACACACCTCTATATATGTTTATGTGTGTGTACGTACTTTTCGCCGTACTTGCTACACATGGGTCCTCAGGACGAGCATGGTCCGCTTTATGGCACTATTGTTCTTGCAGATTACTGACCTTTCCACTACTACTACTACTACTACTACTACTGCTACTACTACTACTACTACTACTACTACTAGTACTACTAGTACTACTACTATTACTCCTACTCTTGCTA